TCTTTTTGGTATTTGTATATAAAATAATATGTCATAATAAATAATTTTAGTTGCTGAGGAAGTCTCAAATAGAGACGAAACGTTCAACGGATAAATATAGTGTTCATCTTAATTAAACCCGTCCAAAAAACAACYTCMCTWAGARTAAACTTAGTAATAATATTAATAAATTTTGGATAAGAAAAAAAAATCTTGATTATATTACCATTTGTAACAAAGTTCTTATATATGTTTATTGCGTTGACAGTGTTTTTCAGAACAAGAAGGTGGAGATAAAACGTGAACTGGAGGAGTATCGCGTATTAGAAATAACTGGGAATTCACCTAGAAGAAATCACCGTTACATGCTGTCAACTCTAGAAGTGGGTGTAGTCGTACTTGGCTGCGTTGTCTTCGTTGGTGCCCTTGTAACAGCCCTCTGCGTCACCTGCGTTCGTAGGAACAAACGGTACGCGGATTACGGTTTAGCTCGATCACCGCAAAACGATTCTACACCGATCGAAGAATCTACCACGGCTATACCGAACTAATTTCTTCGTTTCTATAGATCAAACGACTATTTTTCTAATATTCATATAATTTGCTTGAAAAAAGGGAAGAAAAAAGAAACAAATATTTTATTTCTTTGTTTTTTTTTCTTTGTTTCTTTGTTGTTTTCTCATTATCTTTCTCTTTCTCGTGCACGTAGCATGCATTTTAAAAAGTAAATAATTCCAATGTTAGGTGATCATTTTTCTAATAAAATACATATTTCTGAAGCATGTATGTCAAACGTACTACTACTATCATTAATACTATTATTATTACTATGTATAAAACATAGTAAAATAATAACATAGTTAAATCAATTTAGGAAATCTTCTTCTCCATTTCTTTTTCTATATTTTTTTTTTATCATTCCTCTATTTCTTTAATATCTCATGATCATTCTTTTTTTCTCTTCGCTAATTTTGTTCCATCCCGTTCTCTCTCTGTGCGTGTATGTGTGAACTTTGAATGAATGGACTTCTCGAACTCCATTCGTTAGTCGTAGACGCCGCGAAAAGGCCATGTTCTCCAGCGGTGGTGGTGTTGGTCCACTTGGATATGCTTTGGCAGACTCGACATTGCAGAAACCAGCACTCTTCCCAACCTTCGTTGATGGGCTTCGTTACGATCCAGAACCTTTTTCTACCGATATAACAAGACGACAAAGTATCTGCGATCATGGACCAGGATGCGTGCGATTTCACACGTGAGTTTGTTCTTTTTTTTGTTTTATCAAATGTCGTATGTGATTACAATTTCAATTGAAATCAAACAAATATAATTATAACAATTAATAAAGAACTTTCGCGAAGATTTGAATCGTCGCATTATATTTCAATTTTTACTACGACGAACGATAAAGTTAATATTAGGTAAATGAATAATCAAATTGGAATAATTAAAGAAGGATATATATCGTCTAAGAGACAAATAAGAAAAAATTTTAACAGACTGAATGGTATTACTCAGTTGTTGCGGTGTTACAGGATGGGTGGTAACAGTGGGAAACGTGTCGTGAGAACGACAGGAACAACGAAAGGCCTCGAGGCATCCGCAACGTCTTTGCATTCCAGTGGCCAGGACTCGGGAATCGTGGCACGAGCCTCCTGTCACTGCAGTCACTCCTCGAGTCCTTCAAGCGGTGAGAGTAGCAAGTAAGTATACAATTGTTTATTCTGTTAGGAATCATCGACGAGATGAAGACAACAAAATATTTTGGTCATTCGATCAAAGAATTGGAGAAACAATATGATTAAAATGCATATTTGTTTTGTTTTCAGTGGTTACGAGGATTCCCTGAAATCCTTGCAACGTCGCGAACGAAGCAACGATTTGACTCGTAACAGTCACGATACTTCAAGCGTCGTTGGTAGAAGAGCTAATCAAGCGTTAACAAGAAGACGACAACGATTCAATTCATTTACTAATCTGGAATCTATGTATGCTCACGAAATGACATTGCAGAGGGATCAACGTTGTTGTACAACCGAAAAAAGACGAAAGAATGATGGACGCGGACGAGAACATCGCAGGGCTCATTCCGAGGCTGAAAACAACATAACCGAAACTGTGATTCATGAGCACCCTGGTATGGAACTTCCATTAGCCAGTTCTTTACCCAACACTTCCAATTTGCACAGTAAGTTTAATCGGTAGTTTAGTCGTCCCATCGGAAAATCTTACAACTTTATATTTTATTAGATCGAAATAATATGTTCGATCGTTTGATCGGATCAACTTGTGACATCTTTTGATCGAGGTATGGGTCGTTTAAAAAACACACACACACACATCGATATCATCGATTCGTGCATTAATAACCTACATGCTCACGTTGCTCGAGATTAAATCGGCCATGAAATTCGCAAGTGTTTTTTCCTCACTTTTGTTTACAATTATGCTTAATGCCATTGACAGGCTTTCATTTCCATTCTATTGAACGTTATACTCTTCTTGATCGTCAAGAAATGGTGCCAGTTAATTAAACGACGAATTAACATCTTTAATGCGTGCGTCATTTCAGATATCGTATCTTTAAAAAATCGCTTACGTTTCCAAATCAAACAATTTTATATTACAAGAATATTAGATTATTTTATTAAAGAAGAAGAAAAATGTGTCCTACATTTCTGCTTTAATTTATTTTTCTTTCTTGTTATTTTAATACCATAAAATAGACATTTGAAAATAATGCAAAAAGTTCAGAATCGCGAAACGAAACACGTAAAAGATCAAAAAAAGCGTTATTACAAAATTAATTTATACTTATTTATACTATGGTGTTTTTTTTTCCTCAGGTGCTACGAGAAACAGCCATATGTTGTATTAAAGTCATTTGGTCTTTCACGATGCGATTAGGCGAACCTCCGAAGAGGATGAGATGAAATAACGGTCGTTGAGAAGTACGATCACGTTCCTTGTATCTATCCTTCCTCTTTCTTTCTCTCTCTCTCTCTCTCTCTCTCTCTCTCTTTCTCTTTAGTTCGCTCAAACGCAAAGTTTGCTACTGGCACGGGTCACAATGCTAATTGGAATGGAATCTTCTCGAGTGATATGCCGTTAGGTAATGCAAATCGTATGCAACTTAAGTGAGAATATTTAAACGTGTTTGGAGTTACTAAACTTCTGTCAAACTAAGAAGGATGATGAGCCTTTAACGTCAGAAATGTGTTAATTATTATTATTACTATTATTACTGTATTTTTTTTTGTTTCTATCTATGCCTCGAGAGTGTGTTTTTTCATGTACATAAGTGCATAGACGTCGTGTCATTTTCGTTGCCAAAGTAACTCGTACGTCATGATCCGAGAGAGTCAAGTCATTAACCATTTTAGATTTTTATTGATCGTTTTGTTTCTTTTTTTTTTTTTTTCCATTTCTGTATATAAAAGTGATACGTGTTTTACTATATTTGTATCATCGGTACACGATTCTTATATCGATACTCTACAAGTGGGCTTGATCGATTTTTATTATAACACGCTGAGCGTTTACGATTACACGATTTTACTTTTTTTTTGTTATTCACTTTTTACGATAAATTTATTATCTCTCTCTCTCTCTCTCTCTCTCTCTCTCTCTCTCTCGTTGGTTTTCCTTCATAAACAAGTAATAATAACTTGTATTTTTATCGATGACGATCGCACGATATCTCTACGCTCAACGTGTTAAATAATAAGTCTATAAAATAAAGTAGGATATTTTAAGATGATTTGTTAATATTATTTATACCTGTAGATATGTATAATGTATTATTATGTAAATGTAAAATGTTATGTAAATTCGAAGCCTGTAACAATACATTTGTATATTAAATCTAGGGCGTATCTATATAGAACGTGTGTAGATATTATTATTCGAGAAAGGATTTTTTATTATAAAGCAACGAATATATCGAAGGAATTATTTTTTATTAGCCTTACGATTATATAAATATGAAATAATTAAACGACTTCTATAACGTATCGACAAATTCATTCGATTGTTCTTTTTCTTGTATTTTTTCTTTCTTTCTTTCTTTCTCACGAAACAAATCGAGAGATTCGATCAATCGAATTTATAACGTTCGTTGTTAATTACTACTACCGTTTAGCAAGGTCACCTTCGTCATAGCAATTAATCGTCGTAGCCTTGGTCGAAAGGATCGAGGAATGTCTTTCACGCGATTCAAATCACCGTGGGTGTTTTAATTAAGGCGTACTCGAATCGCGTATAAGAAAATTCTTCCTCCCGTCGTATCATCGGTCAATGCCGATCTTCCTTAACAAAGGTGCCATAATCGGCCATCTATGAATTGTTCGGGATTAATGAAATCTACGCGAAGATCTTAAAACAATAGGGATTCGTTCAGAATCGGTTAGATGTGTGTCATGCAAATGATAAACGTTTAACGAAAAGTTTGTTTAAACGATGAAGAAAAAAATCGTATAACAGTTTATTCCCCCCGCCCACTTCCATTAAATGGATACTGAATTTCTTGTCAACGAGATAAAGTAATGAAACGAAAAAAGTAAAAGAACAAAAATATATTCTAATATGCACAGAGCAAAAAAAGAAAAATGGATGAATTTTTGTTTAACCTATTAAAAAAGTTATATCTAACCTTAGACTAGCTATAAATATCGGTATAAGCAATCAAATATACGATTGAGTTGAAATAAAAGTTAGATGATAGAGGATGGCCTGGAAGTACAACTACGTAGGATTGCACTGTTGTATTATATACCACTTGCCCCTCCCCCCAGCTCAGCCCAACCCAGCCCCCATTGTCCCTGACATCTTCCTAGGATGTGTTTACGAGCTCATGTGAGTGGAACAATTACAACTCGTTTTCAAGCCATTTAAAAATGATTTATCTGGACTCTTACGAGGATGTTTCGAGACATTAGCACGCAGTGCACATAACGACCCCGTAACACCTTCCTTCCTCACCCCCTATCCCCTCCCTCTCCCTCTCTTGTTACCACCCTCATTCTAACACCTTCTTCCTTTATATACCCCTAACTTTTCACCTTATTCTTTCTTATACTTTTTTTCTTTTTCTTGTTAACAAATCGCATAATCGCTAACCACGTGACCGTATTACACATTTATGATTTATCATTACGTACGTAACATACAACACAATTAATGTTAAATATTTTATTAGAATTTTGTTTTCTACGTCTAGAATTTTATGAATGAAAGTAGAAAAAGAACAAGAAGATGATGATGATGATGATGAAGAACAGGAAGAAGAAGAAAAATAATGCAGGATAACGAGAGAAAAGTCGAAGTGTTTCTTTATTCGAATGTGCTAAAAAATAACCAGGATTTTTTCTCTCTCTCTCCGCGGGGATTAACGCTTGGGGCGATCGTAAATCACTTTTGAAGGGCGTTAGAGGACGATAGGTTTCATGCCTCCTCCCTCCGTCCTCCCTCTTAAAACCACTTATTCCAATCCTACTGGAAAAGTTTGATTTATGAAAAAAAGATCCTTTACTATCGTAACGTCTCTCGTTTTCAGGATTCGCGGATCTAATATGAGAAAAAGGATTTATTAGAGAAACAAAAGAAAAGAAAAATAAAATTAAATAAATTCATCGATTTGCAAACGATCTATCGGATAATTTAAACGAACGAACGAACGAACGTTTAATTCAAGAAAAATCGTATTCCTGTAATAGTGGAAAATGATGATTTATGGAAACTATTGAAAGGTTGAATTTAATAGGAATACTGTGAACACTATGAACCCGTGCGATTAGAAAACGAATGACTAGAGTGATGCAGTGATTTTCCTAACCGCGCATCTCCCAGGATCGATCGAGCCAGAGATAATTCAACAGTCGATGCCACCTATGCACCAAAACTCATACACCTAAACCTTATCCATCAGTCCTCCCTCCCTCACTCTCTCTCTCTCTCTCTATCTCTCTCTATCTCTCTCTTTAGAAGATATTTCGAGGAAATGACATTTTGGTTGGTTGATCGTCTCTAGAATATAATCAAATTATGTGGTAGTTAATAGGATCGAGGATGAGGATGTGCTGACGATTAAAAACTATCAACCTTGAAAATTTACTGATATATTATATAACGATGATATAAACGAGATATATAGCTAGCTCATCTGATTCTCATCTCGATTAAAAATCATAGAGCCGCGTTATTGCTAAGAAGATATTGCGATAAGGGACGGGAAGGGACGGGAAGAAACAGGGACCATGTGGAAAGTCTGATAGAAGTAATGATGAGGAAAACGGATTGAAGATGAAAGTTAGCAAGAGAGAGAGAGAGAGAGAGAGAGAGAGAGAGAGAGAGAGAGAAGAGTCTGGAAGGTGCCCGAGGGAAGAAACACGCCCTCGCTCCCGTCATGGATTAAGTAGCTAATATTTCACTGGAGTATTCGAATAACGGCTTCCTCGAAGGGACCCAGGGATCTCTTTCGTTTCAAGAAGACGACTTTTCGCAGCTTCCTTCATTCCTTTCGTAAAAGAAAGATACCAACAAGGTTGCAACAACCTTCGATTTTAGCCTTAAGCTCCTCGAATATTCCATCCTTGTTTTCTTTTCTATTACACTAACCAACAATATTTCCTTCCTCTATTTAATCAATATCTCTTATATATTTTTTCTCTTTCTCTTTCGTATTGTCTAGGATGTTATAATTAAAATATTTATATACTTTTAATTGTTCGAATTCCTTCTTTCTTTTTTTCAGGACTTTTTTTTCCTTACAAAATTCGTAATATCCATCGAATATTTCTATTTAACTTTAACTATCTATCTATCTTTTTCACTGTATAACTGCTCACGTATGTTTCAATATCCTAGAATACATTTAGAATATTCTACTAGCTTCTATATCTCCAAATTCCAGAGATGGTTCCAGAGATGGTTCTAGAGATGATTTAGTGGCTCGCAACATTCGTCAAGAATTTCTTGGATTATTAAATGGAAAAATACTTTGAGTATTTTAAAACAATGATTTCTACCCACCTCGTAAGAAGTTGAAATATTTTCATTATCGTTTTAAAAAAGCGATCTATATATATAATAAAGAAAGATTTATTAATGATTACAAAAATATTGAATGGCGAATTTAGAAGGATTTTTGAGAATATAATTGAAATATGTGTGTGTGTGTAAATGTTTTATTTATAATTAATGAAAAACTATGAATATAAATAAAATAATAGAAAGCAATGATATTTTCATCTTCCTCGTAGATACTTAAAAGAATATTGTCAATATCGTTTTATATCGAGAAAATAAAAACAAATAAATAACGAAATTATATCACGACGTATGCAATAAGATTTTTAATTTGGATTATTTTGTTGAAAAATACTGTCAAATCGCTCAACACTGCAATTTCTATAGTAATTCATTGTACCTCGATTAAAACGGGTTCCCCCTCTTTCTCCGTAAAAATCAGGCAGGAAAATGTGGAAATGTGCAAGCAAGGTAATGTTATACATTTTATTGTTACAACAATAGAAACGAAAATCGTTGAGTATCGTTATTGGTAGGTAAACAATAAACATACACCAAGCAACAAACACACATCCATCTATTCATATGTGCATGTAGAAATACGTGCATACATACGTACGATGTACACTCTCTCTTTTTGATACCCCACCCCCTCCCTCCGTCAACGAGTTTTACGAGTTTTAGTTGTACGGTTTTATCACCAGTCGACACAAACACGGGCTAGTCGTATACGTGAAATTGAAGTTCTGCATTTTTTTTGCAGAATATATATAGCTATGCAGATGTTCGTTTTTCGCTAAATGCAAACAGTTCGAGCTTACACGTAATTAGATATAACGTTGAGAGTTTCAATAAAACAAAAAAATAAATAATTTATAAACAAATAAAAGGAAGATTAACACATCGATAACGATTTTCATTATTTTTATCGTCGATCGCGATTTGAACCCCCCTCCCAGCCCCAACCCTCGAGTTAGCCGATTAGCTTTGACGGTACTTGAGAGAGAAAAACGAAAGAGGAAGAGAAAATCTTTATTTACGAGAGAAAGATTCTTGGCAATCCTATCGCTAAAGGATTTTCACCAGTCGAGTATTGGGGAAGTTAATGAATTCGATCGCGTCGGATTACGATGGAAGCTTTGTATAATAGTATAATAGTGGTAATATGTAGTAGCAATAGTTCTCGTGGTGATGCAGGCCTTCTCTTAAATCCATCTACCCATCTCGTAAAAGCCTTCGAGAATCACAAAATAAATACTTTAATCAGCAATATAATATACTATTCATTCAAAAACAACACTTTCATTAATTGAGACAATAGTTAATATATATACGTACTTTAATTCGCAAAAATTATAATTATTATTTATTATTAAATGTAATAAAAAAATATATATTATAACGTCGTATTATATTTTGTAAATATCGATTAGAATTTTTGTCTACCAATCCAATACCAAATTGTTTCAGTTAAATATTATTATATACTAATGTGATTATAATAAATTTGCAAAACTATTTATCAACAATTTACAGAAGTTTTAAATTTATCTATAAAAGATATATATTATATAATAATTTTATTGGTCCCAGTTTTAAATCAAATATTAGGCGATCAATCATAGTGTCTCGTCGAGAACTAACAGTCATATGAACAGACAAGGATAATTCGCATATTCAATAGTATGCATGTCAGTTATTAAATGCACGTGTAACGTGACACACGAGAATAGTAACGACATTTTCTCTCTTCTCATCGATTCTTCGAACACAGATGCAAGCGCACACACACACTTTCCTCATCGTGAACATAAAGTATGAAGATTTTCCTAACATCCCTTGGCCTTGATCTCTGACGACCTTAACCGTTCGAAAATACCGAGTATATATATGTATATAAAAAAAGAAAAAAAAATGTTATAGTTTCGTTGAAACGATTAAAAGGCGATTAGTTTTGGAAAAGAAAAATGCGGAGAAAGAAAGAAAACTTAATTCGAAGAAGTAGGAAGAAGGAGAACGAAAAAAGAAAAAAGAAAAAAGATGAAGATGAAGAAGAAGAAGAAGAAGAAGAAAAAGAAAAAGAAAAGTGTGGAAAGGAACATCGAATCGAAATAAAAATTACTGCGAAAACGGGAACAATTCGTTTGGAAAGTTTATAATATTTTTATCCTTATTTTCTCTTTTTTCTTTCCTTCTTTCCTTTTCTTTCTTATTTTTTGTTTCGTTTTGAGAAAGTTTAATCGCGAACAATTAATTCGCGTGATATATATATATATATTTTCGATTTGGCAAGGTTCGTGAATTTTTAAAATTCTCGTATAGAGAAAGGAAAGAAAGAGAAAATGAAAAAGGGAAGAATAAGAAGGAAAAAGATAAAAAAATACATTCGTGACGAGCTTGCATCGTTCAAATATCTCTTAAATCTTTTTTCCCCGTTTCGCAACCCTGACGAAAGTGCAATTGGATTTCATCGAATTTACTTGTTACTTTTATATTTTTCTTCCTTCCCTCTCCACCCCTCCACCTCTTTATTTTTTTTCCTTTTTTTCTTTTTCTCTTCTATTTTTTTTTCCTTTTTTTTTTTTTATCACTAACTAGTGATGATCCAATTAAACGTAACGATGTACTCTACGAAAGCAAAATGAAGAGGGACAGGTGAACGCAAACGAGGGATTTCTATCACTTTTTTTCTCTCTCTCTCTCTCTCTCTCTCTCTCTTTCTTTCTTTCTTGTTCGGGAAACTCAAATATTTCTTAATTACGTATGAGTATTAACTCATACGTAAATTATCAAATATTAAAAAACCTATACGGGATTGTAAATCAAACAATATCGTTTTGTTTGTTTGTTTGTTTCTCTCTCTCTCTCTCTCTCTCTCTCTCTCTCTCTCTCTCTCTGACGATGCGATTTAAAAATTATCTACAAAAGTACAGAGAGAGTCAAGAAAATAAAACAAAAAAGAAAGAAAAATAATTGAAAATCAAGATTAGATCAAATGAAATCTTAAAACGAAAAGACGTAGCTTTTCTATCGATGCAAACGATGATAAAGTAATGAAACGTCTAGAAATTTGTTCGAGAAAGTTGTTGACAGTTCTTAGGAGGAGGGGGTGGGGGTGGGTGTCGGTAATTTTCCACGATGAAGTTCCGTTTTTGTAAGAACGAGAGAAAGAAACGAAACGAGAAGATGTTCTTAAAGATTTATGATGAAAAATCGAAAGTTTACAGGATCGAGAATTTTACTTTCTTTCTTCGATTTTTTTTTTTTCCTTAACCCGTCACTCGAGGACTGCCTAAAGTATATCAAAAAAGAGAGAAGGGTGTCTATCCGTGACTATAATCGATATACTTTATTCCCCCAATCCGGTCAAAGCATTTTCATATTCGTTTTTTTTTTTTTCGTTACCAGAGAAACACTCGAATGTTTCCACTCATTTTTTTTCTGTTCTATCTCGAGTTAAGGAAAAAGGGGGAGTTTAGGGATAGAACGAGATAATAAAATTGACTGTCGGACGTCCTTGGAAGGGATTGTTGAGGGGATTGTAAAGGGTGTAAGAGAGGTTGACGAGAAGGAAGATACATAGATTATGTTCGTAACTTGGTGCTCGAGTGTCTAAACTCGCTTCACGGTCGAAAACTTTAGCAGGCTTTTCTCTCAACATTCTCTCTCCCTCTCAAGAGAGTCGAGAGACTCGTATAATTCATAACATTGTTATAAACGTATTGCATCGGTTATTGTAATGATTCACTAAGTTGGAAAGATTTGTCGATAATAAATATTACAATAGGGGGTAAACGTTAATATAAGTATTATAATCATCATGAAAATGAAATTAGATCAATGTTCCAATGATGTGCAGTCGAAATAATACCGGGAAGAAGACGAAGAAGAAGATTTAAATTTCACTTAATTAAAAGCATTTAATAGGAAAAAAAAAAAGAAAAAAGAATGAAGAACGGGGTAGACGACTAATTCGCAACGTTAGGACACGGAAATTCGTTTTGAAATTGAATTCAACTGAATTTTCCCCACCATTCGCAGTCACATAGTCGTCGAAACGAGCTTTTCGATTAGTGTTGCATCGATTCTCTCTCTCCCTTTGAAATAGTATCAGCCGGTTAGGTTGATCGCGAGCGTGCGCGAACGAGCGGGGTTTTCGAAACGCTATAGCCTTGTTACTTTTATACTTTATTCGTCGATCGATCGATCGGTGACACGTTTCTCCAGTGACCTTCGCTACACATCTTGTTCCATAATCGCTAGGCCATCACCAACTGCTAGATAATCGTCCGTGAAAAGGAACGAAACGCGAGAGATTAATCGAATCATCCATTTGTCTATCCTATCAAGAAGCAACCAACCCCCGAACTCACGTTTCGTTTTCCGAAGAAAAAGGGGAAGAAGAAGAAGATGATGATGATGATAACCTGTGGATATTATTATGGACTCCAATGATAATCCTTTCGTTAGACCCTTTTTTTTTTTTTTATTAAACCCCTCCTCGAATTATCCAATTTATCGTTTTATTTCTTTTTCTTTTTCTTTTCTTTCATTCTTAATCGTTTATCCGTGTGTGCAATTATAATTTAACACACATACACAAATAGATACATACTTATATAAACTTATCTAATTGTCCGTCCTCGATTTGACGATAGTCCAATGCATACCATTAACCCTAACTTTGTATTTATAGATTTCTAACGAACGGAACACTGGTCTCAGATCTAAAAGAAAAACTTGTGTTCACTCGGTCATGGTGTAGATTAACTAAACGTGAAACATAGACACGGGTAAATAGAGTACCATTACATCTAAAGCACCGTAATCTATAGCACCGTTCAACCATCCAACAAACGAAGAGGAAGTGTAGCTACGAAATGGAGTACAAGCTGAAAATAAAAATAGACAAACTGCGATGTGGGGAGGAGAAGTAGTAGGTATACTATAGAAAAGGTAAATTATTACCCGGGGAAGAAAAAAGAAAAAAATCAATCCCCAAAGTTAAATAAAACATCGACATTACTTACATTAGCCGTAATTTATTTTATTTTTTTTTTCTTTTTTTTTTTAACGATAAACAATAAGTGCAATTAAAATCAGGAAGACGATTTAGAAACGATTCGATCGATTTATTAAAAATCCCCCCCGCCTCCCCACCCCTAAAAATATCACTCGATTCGTCATAGAAACTCGTTGAAATTTCGAACGATCGAAATATCTTTAATAAAAGTAAAGTAAAAACGTTAACGTCTCCAATGTTATAGAAGAAAGTAAGAATCAAGAAAAATAGGAATCATTTGTCTCTATATAAAGAACGAACGGAAAGAGAAAAAGAGAGAAAGAGACACAAGAAAATGCATTTCTTTGAAATCCATTCTATAAACGCGCCGTTTAAAGTCTCCAATTGATAGGAAATTCAAGGAAATTTATATTGAAACGGTGGTGATGATCATGAACAGTAGTTGTGAGTAATAGCAGTAGCAGTAGTAGTAGTAGTAGGTTTACAAAAAAAAATGGGAAGGTAGAAAGACAAAATGGAATTTGCTATTTGAAAAAAAGAGTGTGGGAAGGCTAGTGGAAGGGGAAAGAAGAGAAGGGGAACGTGGATTCTCCCTCTGCCTTCTTCACTTAACTCTACAGATCTATAAATATAATACATAGATATTACACACACACACACACACACACACACACACACACACACACACACTTGCAAGCAAACATAGAAAGACACGTATTTAAAACATATAAGTAATAGACGAAATGGTTGAAATATGTGTGGGAATGCGTGGGAATGTGTGTTCGAAATGTTTCTTCAGTTGGTGGTACGGTTAGGCCAACGACTACTATGATGCGTCGAGAGAGGAGAGTAGCAGATCGCATGCGGCTTGCATGTGCCGCCTCTTGAAACAACGCTTGCGCACTGTTGGAAGTTTCGGCAGGCAGACAGGTCGCAGCTACGGGTGCATCTCGCGGCAGTTCGCGGTCGCCTTTTAAAGAAAGCTCATTAGTTGCTCGGCACCAAGCCCGGCACCAAACCCGGCACCGCGACAGATTTTCCCTAATTTTCATTCGTTACATTCGCTCGTTCTCTTCAATCCTACAACAACAACAAGAAGAAGAAAGAAAAGAAAAACTCAAAAGAGAAAATATCATTTCAACGATTGGATCCGCAACAATCCCCCACCCCCGCCCCTCTTCTATTCGTGCATCATAATAATAATATTTATTTCGATACTTTTATAAACATATTATAGTTGGTTAATAATAATATTTCATTTATTTTACCTCTATCTCATTATATCAAACGTTAATTACATCTTCCTTCTTTTTTTTTCTCAATTCTTTTTGTTTTTATCTTCTTCTTCTTCTTCTTCTTCTTCTAAATCCATTTTTAATAGGGAGAAGAAAAGTTTGAATCAAACGTTCCGATCGTCCCGTTAAAACGTACATACCTGTTTAATAGTCAAAGATAAATAAGAATACAAAATAGATATTTCGCGCGCGAATTTATCTCGGATGGATTGGCATAATCTTCGTGCACGTGCGAGTTAGCTCGCGAAGAAGGGGAGTCGTCAAACTCGCGTTGTACGAGTAGGAAACGTACAACGAATCGAATGTCACGGACTAGGTCGAATGATCAAGTGGTCGGATATTTAATAGCTATCATCGGTTTATTCGGAATGATAGAAATTCGCGTAGGCGCGTGATTTTGATAATCATCGAGAGTGAAGTTTAAGGATTTATTATCCAAAAAGAAGATAAACAAAATTGTCTTTCGGATTCTTTGTTATTTATTTTTTCTTTTTCTCTCGTGAGGAAAGAAAAAAAGAAATCCAGGCTAACTGATTATTACGAAATTGGTCGAAAGGGAAAAGAAAAAGAAAAAGAAAAAGAAAAATATAGAGTGGGTGGTGGGTGGAGGAGAAGTTGTAAAGTTCTCTCTCTCTATCGTAGTAAAAAGAGTAGAACGTGGTTTCGAGTAGGTTGTGTGGGCGACGAGGTGAAACGAGGTCGTCGACACACGAACGTCGTCGATGAGGAAGAAGAAGAACTGAAGAAATAACACGAGACGATAAAAAATCATTTGAGGGTAAATAAGGGCAATTTGTAGAAGATAGGAATATTCGTAATAGAAGAAGGAAAAAGTAAAAAATAAAATTAGTTAATTTTTGGCCAATGGTCGAGACACAGTTCCGACGTTCAACATTAAAGTTCCCGATGCTGCAGCCACCTTCTCCGCTGATGGAGATGGCGTCCCTGCGTTTACCGGACTCGGAGGAGTTCGACGTTGACACCCGTCGTAGGAGTAACAACGATAACATGTTACCAACTACGATAGCTACGGCATCCCCGAATACCGGTGGTAGTAGTACCTTTCAACAGATCAAAAATGATCTCGGTGATTATTTGAATTTGTTGGTCGAGGCTATTACCGCTAATCCTAGGGGTGCTGACCCCTCATCTATGGATGAACAAACTGGACTATTCAACGCTAGTAAAACACCTAATATTTCAACGATCGAACAATTACCTGATCGACTTTACAGGCACAGCATGGCCATGTCAGCGGTGTATTGCGTAGCCTACGTTTTAGTATTTGTCGTTGGCCTAATCGGCAACAGTTTCGTCATAGCTGTCGTTTACCGATCACCAAGGATGAGGACCGTAACAAATTTCTTTATCGTCAATCTCGCAGTAGCCGATGTCTTGGTCATCGTATTTTGCTTACCTGCCACGCTGATGAGCAATATCTTTGTCCGTAAGTACTTACAACTTTCTATATTAGTTACATAAATCTACAAATATATATATATATATATATATACAAACACATATGCACGAGGAAGAAGCAACTTCGATTTTGACCCACCTCCAACTATTCCACGCAACGATATACATCTACACATACATCTATGTGCATCGTTCTCTCTCGTCTAGCATAACTTCCCAACGTTCCTCGCCGTTCCGAAGGGTCGTTTAACTTTCCAAGGATAGAAAAAAAAAAAAAGAAAAAAAAGAACTTGGAGAAGCTACTTACATCTTCCTGCTAAGATTTATATTCTATCCCGGTACGAGAAACCAACGACAATTTATTACAAAGCGTTGGGTATTACTTGTCTCGTACAAAAGTACGAGTTTATTTCTTTATTTTTTCTTTTCTTTCCTTTTTTCCCTGCAAAGAGAATTTCGTTCAATCGTTTAAAGCATTTTCCAATAATAGGGAAAGGGAAAGGGAATGACGTTCTTTGAAGAGCACCCATTGTGCACTTTTAAACTCCATGTGGTCCATCATTTTTTCGACGATTTCGAGGGTTCTTACCATCCCTCTCTTTCTCTGACAAGTTGGGGGCGCGAGTGTAAAGGGTGCACGTAGTTTTGGAGGGGATCCCTTGGTACTTCGAAATCGATTCTTCCGCGACGCCCTGCGCCACGATATTCGCGGAACCATCAAATTTATCCTGCTCAATGTTACATTACAAATAATTGTTCCATTAATTATACGAGATTGATTGCTACGATTTCCTATCATTTTGTTCATTAATTTAATAATTAATCATGATAAACACAAGGAATCATCATTGTGTGTGTGTGTGTGTGTGTGTGTGTGTGTTAAAAAAAAGTCTTTTTAATTGATATATTTTATTGCAAAGAGTACCTAAATTGTCTTACACTAGCGGGCTTTTTCAATTAATCTATAATGTAACAGTGAAATTTTGTTGTTGGGGCTTGTCGGGAAAGCGTTAGAATAAATTCGTGATAGGGATAAGTGTCGAATCCCTGAGAGGGAAAGAAAATCCTTGAGGAATATATGCGCGTTCCCGTGTCCCATTTTTCAACCAAGGATACCGTGAAAATGATTTTTTTATTACAAACACGATATACGTATATTGTATATATATTTTTGTTTCATTTAATAGACCTCTTTCTCTTTCTCTTTTTGTATCGTATAATATACCCTTTTTCCTTGCATTATCATAATAATTATTATTATTCGTCGTTATCATTTATATTCATCATCCTTGATTTCTACGTTATTATCATCAAAATTTGACTATTATTTATGTACAATGCACATAAAGTAATATGCCCCAGTGTCGGATAAAGTAATAAAAAAATATTTAAGCGAATATGCGCGAAGACGAAAGACCGATATACAAAATATCGATTTTATTTTTTTTTTGTCCTTTAAACGATTTTTACATCAAGAAATCATTTACGATATTTTGTCTACTCTTTCGACAGACGTCATTTTTTTTTAATTATTCATATACAATTTGGTATTCTCATTATTTATATTGTTACAATACTCATTTTGCTAAGGCAAAATTTAATATAGAAAGATAGGACGTATTGTCTGTGAAGTACCAATATGAAGACTCATTTTTACGGCGGTCTTCCATTTCCTGGTGATTTTCATTTTATTACCTATCAACCACCCATCCACGTGGTTTGCCAGGTTAACTCAGGTTCGCACAGTATCACGCAGTATCATCATCCTAAACGAAGTTTTTCTTCGTTTTTCTCTAACGTTTCATACCCCATTTTTCTCGACACTTATTTCAATCTTTTCTTCAGAGAATTATTTTACTTCTCCTGTTCGATAAATTATCATCCATTCATTTTATTCATTCCATTTCGAGAATCTTTCAATCTTTTTTCTTTTTGCCAAAAACAAATAGACTCTCGATCGAATTTGAAAAAAAGGGGAAAAAAATAGAAAGAAGAAAATCGTGTTTGCCAAATCGATTTCGAAATTATTTGTACTGATCGAGCGAGTTGTTTGATTCCAGTATTTCTTTATCTTTATTTTCTGATCTTATCTTTCAAACAGATACGAAAATATATATATATATTTTTACCGATACGTTTATGCGAAAAACGTTTCGATTTATTTCTCCTCCGCCTCTACCTCCTTGAATAAAATTCCTAACTTCCCCTACCACTTCTTTTATCACACTTTCTTCACTCGAACACTCGAAAATGACTTTGAAGTTCCCTCACCCTCTCTCTCTCTCTCTCTCTTTCTCTTTTTGGTATTTCGATTATGTTCACTAAAATATTCGTGGTTTAAAGAACGATTATATAATTATTACGTTTTACTTCTGTAAAAATATTTTTAAGATTTAACTGAGCAAAGATTAATGATCGTATCAAAGTTCTTCTCATTGTTCTTTCTTATTTGTTGTCCATGGAACGTTATAAACAAGTATTTTCCGTTTGATAAAGAAAAAATAGTGGACAGAGACTTGTGTTATGGTCACGCGTCGGTAAACACGTGTTACGAGAGAGAGTCTGCATGTGCATTGTTGACAACGTTTTTACACAGGTGTGTCTCGGTATATTGAAAAAAGAAAAATATAGTTTCGTAAGAGAATATTTACGAACACTCGAGGCTAAGTTCTACCGGTTATTCATCATCTATGTCGTCCCATTCGTCAAACAATTCGACGCACGATTCTTGTCTATTATTAGCTTTTATTCATTTTTTATTAATTGTTTAATCGTCAATTAAAAAACGTCTAAACTGTCATAATCGTATTTAGTTGAGTCATTAAATACGATTATTCCAATTACTTTCAGTTCTATCGTTAATTGGATATTTTATATACTTAACGACACATAATATATTTCAAATTTTAACATAATTCAATATTAACAATTTCTATCATATTTTCTTCTTCGATCTGATATTCGCGAACGAAATTAAAGTTACGGCAAATTTTGAAATAAGAAATAAGAAAAAAATGTTTAATAAATAATAATATTAATTTGAGTAGAATTGATATCGTTTAAAAACTCTTATTGCTCGTAATTATTAAAAATGTTACAAAAACAAAAAAGAAAAAAAGAGAAAATTCGGGAAATAAAATACTTCTCTCCGTCTAACAGTTTTGTAGATCTAGGTCATAAGGAAGAAGAAGAAGAAGAAGAAAAAAAAGAAGAAGTTCCTTTGAGCGAATCCTTATGAATTTTGTTCTTTTTCCGTTTTGCCGATAAAATAAGAGAGGAGGGGGTAGGGGGACAACAACGAGTAGGTGAGAATATTTTCCTTAATTCTTTATGGGGAAACGATAAACGTGAGTTTTCCTTCGACGTGGGAGTATTGGGATCGTCCTTAAATAGGAATGTTGGTACCAATGCATGCAATATCCTTAGAAAATATTTCAAACGCGTTCTCCTTCTTCCTTCTTTATTCATATTTTTATTTATTTTTATTTTTATTTTTTTCGACAATAACCACACATCTTTCGCATAACAACATCACTCTCTCTCTCTCTCTCTCTCTCTCTCTCTCTCTTAGGCTAACTTTGTTCTGTGTTTTGTTTTTTTTCTTAATCGATTAACATACATACAAAATTACACGCGATTCTTTATATAATTGCGAAACGAAGTTGATATATTATTTGATAAAAGTCAATTGCAATCGAACGAATAAATATAAAATGAAGAGACAGTATTATTCGACGTGAAGCGATAAAAAGAAAAAGATAAGAGTAAAAAAAAAAAGAAAAAGAACAAGGCCAAAAATGAAGTTCGTGCTACGTCAATTGCGATGTGGTTCTCGCTTTAAAGTGACAGGTTAATCGTGAAACGTAACGAAAGAAGCGTGACACCGTTTGTTACGGTAGAGCTAGTAGTAGTAGTAGTCGTACCCTCGTCCCACCTAAAGCAAATCGATTCTAGGCGTGCTGCAGTTTCATTTATTTACTCCTCTCTCTCTCTGTCTCTCTCTCTCTCTCTCTCTCTCTCTCTCTCTCTCTCTCTACGAGTATTCGTTCAAGGGGAAGGGGGAGGAGGTGGGATCGTCGTTTTCAATTCGCCATGCTTCGATTAGAAACTAAACGACGACTAAATAATGTCGTCCTTTATTGCATATATGTCGAAAAACGAGCAAACCATGGAACAACAAGGAAAGGTTCCATGCATCCACCCAACCACTCACCCACCCCGTTCGACGGGAAACGAGCTTGAGAACTAATTCCCAAGGTTTTCAAGCCTCCCCTCCTCCTCCTCCTCCTCCCTGGTACCAACGAAGTTACGAGGGAAGGCATGCAGCATTTTGTAAAGTTCCTCTCATGCATTTAGGTATCTCTAATAGATGTATATTACATATCTAAGCGTACGGTAAATGTATAGGCCGTAGGAACGTTTAATACACACACACACATACTCATAGTTCGAATACGTAGTAGATAACACAACGAAGCTCTTTGCTTCTCGTACGCTTTGAAATGGAAATTGGCAGCGATCTCGAGATTCTCAACTAACAACACAGCAAATCGAATTAATCGCTTCAGAGTCGATCATCAGGGGGGAGAGGACCATCAGAACGAGCGTGATTCGTTTCGACGCGTTTTCCTTCCTTCTTGGTTTAACGAATTTTCAAAGATCATTCGAGATTCCTTAAATTCTTTTCTCGCAGTTTTCATCATCATACTTTCCAAGGCCAATTATTTCGTATGATTTTTCTATCATTCAACACGATACAATTTTATCCGCACGAAAATTTCGGGAAATTTTGTTCAATGACAAATCCAGAGAAGAATTCTACCGTTTCGAAAGAAACCAAAGAAAAAATTTGACAGGACTTTCTCATACCTCCCCCGTGCCCTTCTTCACCCCCGTTAAAAAAAAATTCCATTTATTTATACACACGTACGTCATATTAATTAGAGAACACCTTTCTAATCGACTTTGACTGTAGTGACCTTAATCTTTTCCTTTTCCTACTTCGAAATGGCCTCGACATCGCATTTT